TCTTCTTCCACAAAACAGTTGACCTGCGCAGTCGTAGCTTGTAACATCAGAAAAAATCTCACCAAGGAAATGGGCAATAACTGCAGCAGTGGTTATCTATACACAAATGCCCCACCCACCTCTGCCGCTGCGGCCGCCGGACCTACGCCCCCTAACGATGGCGGAGCTGGTCCCGGGCCGGGGCCCGGATCCGGATCCAGCATCACCGTCCTCCCCCCGGACGCACCCCCACCTCCCCGCCGGCCCCTACCCACCGGAATCGGTCGCGTCCTCGGCCGGCCCATGTCCGACATCCACTCCGTATACGTTTTCGGGCGGGAGCTCGGCCGTGGCCAGTTTGGGGTGACCCACCTCGCGACCCACCGCGCCACGGGCCGCGCCTTCGCGTGCAAGTCGATCGCCGCCCGGAAGCTCGCCACCCCTGACGACGTCGCCGACGTCCGCCGGGAGGTCCAGATCATGCACCACATGACGGGCCACCGCAACATCGTGGAGCTGACGGAGGTGTTCGAGGACCGCCACAGCGTGCACCTCGTGATGGAGCTGTGCGCCGGCGGCGAGCTGTTCGATAGGATAATCGCCAAGGGTCACTACTCCGAGCGGGCGGCGGCGGGGCTGTGCCGCCAGGTTGTGACGGTGGTGCACGCCTGTCACTCGATGGGGGTGATGCACAGGGATCTGAAGCCCGAGAATTTCTTGTTTCTGAGTGGGGATGAAAATTCGCCCCTCAAGGCGACCGATTTTGGACTGTCTGTGTTTTTCAAACCTGGTAATTAGTTTATCTGTGGGATTCTTGTGAAAATGGCTGTTATTATGAGATTACTGTGACTGTGTATTATGAGATTACTGTGACTGTGTTCTAATGGGACTGAATGGAATTTATTATGCAAGGATTATAATTGGAGCCCCCAAAGATTTTTGAAATTGTAGTTATCTGTTTCATATATTTGCAGTTTTATTTTTTGAATGCTTAGGAATTGAAACAAGTGATATCTCAAGGATAATTTGGTTTTGTGTATTCTAAAACCAAGAAACTGTCCATCTCACTTGATCATAGATATAACAAGTTTAGTTTCTTGGTTTATCGTGCCTTATTGTGTCAGTTGTCATGTTAATTCGCATTTCTCATGGTATATGGTCATATGATGTTTTTCAGGAGAAGTATTTAGAGATCTTGTTGGGAGTGCATATTATGTGGCTCCTGAAGTATTGCGTAGAAATTATGGTGTTGAAGCTGATATATGGAGTGCCGGTGTTATACTGTATATTTTACTCAGTGGTGTCCCACCTTTTTGGGGAGGTGAGTCTCAATGAAAGAAATTTTCTTGCTTCTGTATGCACAGCTACAGCTCAATGAACTAAGTGTTTGCTAACACTTGAAGAAGAAAAGAGATTGTTAAGCAATTGGCTTAATTACAAAGAAAGAGAAATAAAAAGGGTCAGTAGTCAGTACCTTTAGCTTCCATTTGCACGTAACTGATATTTTCCAGTTCTTTTCCATTTCTGTCACATTTAGAAAATGAGCAAGGCATATTCGATGCCGTTTTGCGGGGCCACCTTGATTTTGTTTCGGACCCCTGGCCATCAATTTCGAGTAGTGCCAAAGATCTTGTGAAGAAGATGCTTCAGTCTGACCCTAAAGATCGGCTTAGTGCAGTTGAAGTCTTGAGTAAGTTGTTCTTTCTTGAGGATAAAGACAATACTCTATGATATGATTGCTTCGTGTAATAAGCTTTAGCTTTTGGCCGAAGTTTTTTTACATTTTGCCAAACTCACGTCAGAAACATGAATCTTCTTTTACACATCGTCGTTATTTCTATTATGAGACGTATTAAAGATTTTAGCATAATTACACACAAAAAAAAATAAAAAATTCTTGTATTATTCTAAATTTGCAAATAAGTTTCTTGTGTTTGTTTTTGCACATTACCTGATATATAGAAAATATGGCAAGGGGTATTAGAAATTGCGGAAGATATTACACTAAACGTCGAGAGCAACTTCTGCAAATGTCTCTTCCTAAGAAAATAAACAATCATTTTAGAATAATGTCGAATATTTTAATATGTAGACCATCCATGGATGAGAGAAGATGGGGATGCATCTGATAAGCCTCTCGACATTGCTGTCTTGACTAGGATGAAGCAATTCCGTGCAATGAACAAGCTGAAAAAAGTTGCTCTGAAGGTCAAAATTGTCCTTCCGTTGTTTTTCACATATATATTTTTTTTAGGACAACAACAATAAATGAATTCTAACGGGGTTCTATAGGTGATTGCGGAAAATCTTTCTGAAGAAGAAATTATAGGTTTGAAGGAGATGTTCAAATCCATGGATACCGACAATAGTGGAACTATCACTTATGAAGAGCTAAAAGCCGGCTTGCCGAAGCTTGGAACGAAGCTGTCTGAATCAGAAGTCAAACAATTAATGGAAGCGGTATTAATTATCCCTTATTCCTTTTCCTTTTTTTTTTTCTTTTCTTTTTGGGGGTTAATGGAAGCTGTCTGAACCAAGTCCATGCAGAAATCTTAATGTTCTTTATGCGTGTGATAATATTTCTTTTCCGTTTTAAGTGAAAGCATAATAGATATTAACCTTGCATGCCATATCTCGTAATGTGATGCCTTATGTGGTCTGGATGCTTGGACAGTTGTATTAAAGCATAGCATGAGAAGTTGTGTTTGAGTGGAGAAGGACAATTTCGTAATTACCTAAGACTGATATGTGTACTGATAGGGCATAGCAAAACGATTAGCTTGGCACATTACGATTAGCTTGCAGAGGAAGAGGTTTTCGGGGTCTAAAGTTCATCCAATTTCTCATAAAAATATGGAACATCAAACTACCTCAGCTGGGAAAATATTATTGATTTGCAGCTTATTTTTTCTTTGCAGTACTATATTTAATTAGCTTTAGTTTAAAATTCAGTAGCTAGCATATATATAAAAATGGGCTGCTTTTTCATGCTCCTCAGATTTTTTTTTTTAAAAAAATATTTTCAGGCTGATGTGGATGGAAATGGGACAATCGATTACATTGAATTTATCACGGCTACAATGCACATGAATCGAATGGAGAGAGAGGACCATTTGTACAAAGCATTTGAATATTTTGACAAAGATAAGAGCGGGTAACACCTCTCTCTCTCTCTCTCTCTCTCTCTCTCTCTCTGGTATTGTGCTTTTTGCTCATGTGAGCTTCTATATTTAGGTACATAACTATGGAAGAGTTAGAACATGCCATGAAGGAATACAACATGGGAGACTCAAAAACGATTAAGGAAATCCTTGCTGAAGTAGACACTGATCGGGTAAATCTTTATTCTTTGCTATTTGTGGCTATATATATATGTGTGTGTGTGTGTGTGTGTATTGTTTATTATCCGAGTTTGTGCCCCTGGTATATTACATTTTCTACATACAACTTCAAGTACGATTTTATTTTGTTCTCAGAAGAAAACAAAAGAAAAAGAGAAGAAAATATGAATCTTTTTGGTTGATTGTTTTCAGATATTTGAAATCTTTGAAGGACAAATCCAATAACATCATACTTTTAAGAAATAATGACCCAATTATCTTGTAAAAAACTACACACATCACATCAGTTTGTAATGCATCAATTTCGTTTGAGTTATTTGTGTGTTCTATGGCTGCAGGATGGGAAAATAAACTATGATGAATTTGCAGCTATGATGAGGAAAGGCAATCCTGAAATAGGCACTAACAGACGGAGAAAATAGTATCGACAACACTATATAAACGCAACTATATATGTATTGGGTGTGTTCCCCTGCGGTTTTTCGCCTTCTTCTTGTTGTCTATATCTTGATTGTTGGCCTGAGATTTGGGTGACAAATTGTTCTACAGTTGTTTTGTGATGTTGAAGTGCGATTGTGGCTTGTGGGGAAACATGTGTTTATCGTTGGTGAATGCAAATTTGAAATTTTGTTTGCCATTCTCATTTCATTCAATGGGATTGATNAGTGAGTCAAAGGTCTTCGTAAGTCAGAGGTGAATATGGATTATGGGTACAATCAACATGCATCATCACTCTCACTGGTAACTAAAAGTTTACTGAAACGTGGAGTTGTAAAATAAAAGTAAAACAACTCGTGAACTAAAACACATTTCACAATTCCTAACTCAATTCCCGTAACTGAATCTATATAAAAATGTTTGAACTCAAACAAATAACCATTTTTCTCAGATTGATATAGATTACCAACAAATAACCGTTTTTCTTGATGTAATCATAGAATTGAGTAGAAAATATTTGCGCGCATAATAAAGGATATTATGTACAAAACGTAAAATAATATTTAAATATTTATTCATTACTAAAAAGTAAAAACATATTTATTTATTTGCTTACTCAGCATTAAATATTCTAGATGCATGTGCCACTTCACCCCATTCTAATCCTTTTTCCCAAATTTAAATCATATTTTACAATTTATAAACAATAATATGTACATCGCGTGAATTTGAAGAAAAATTGGAACCAAGTTGTGATTCACACCTTTCACACCCCGCCTTATCACGTTGTAAATTTATTTCTCAAATTTAAATCATATTTTACATATACGCAGTCAAATCCATGTCATCTAGAATATGAAAAAGAAATGAAAACAAAAAATTTGGATAATTCGTTTAATTTTCTCTTAATTTATGTACAACTGTTCACAGTTTCAATTCATTGAATTCATAACCATCAGGGAAAAAATCGTAATTCCATACCCTCCTCTCATTGGCCGAGTCCGGCGGTGCGACCCACTTGCGTGATCAGAGTCTGACGCGCCGCATCACATGCTTCGCACCCCACAGTAAAATATTGTAGGCCGCCATACCTCAGCCGTCCAAATTGTCCGTTAAGGTGGGCCCCACTTCCCCATCCCTTTTCCTTAAATTTGTCCCTACGCAGAAAAAATGACGCCCTGGTAAAGCGGGAAGCAACCTCCTCAGTTTTTGCACAAGCACCCAAAAAAAATATATATATTGAAGAAAAATTAACCGTCCTGCGCCACCGCCGCGCGCCGCCGTGTTCCCCCGAGGAAATTTCATGCAAGGACAAGCGTTGTAGAAGCTACGGGACCTTCCAGATCAGGTTGTTCGTTATAATTTTCGGTTTTTTCTGTTCCGAGCGTATTTTGTGAGAAGAAAAAAGAAGAAGAAGAAGAAGAAGAAGAAGAAATGGAATCGAAGAGTGTGATCATGTCGGCGTTGGGAGTGGGGATAGGGGTTGGGGTGGGGATTGGGTTGGCGTCGGGGCAGACCGTCGGGAAATGGACCAGCGGCGTTCCCTCGTCCGCCGGCGTCACGCCATCGGCGATGGAGCAGGAGATGTTGGCCCTCATCGTCAACGGAAAGGATAGCAAAGTCACCTTCGATCAATTTCCATACTATCTGAGGTAAATTACGGTGAACGGAAATCATTTTTCCCTATTTCTCTCTCTCTCTCTTTTTGTTTTTTAATCTCCCGTTTTGGTTGTTCATTATTGTTGGACTTGTCCGGTTGTCCCTTCACTTGTTCTATCTGCATACTTTTGTTGTTTGAAGCTTACAGCTAGTCACGCCTTCACTCGTTCTATGTGCATATTTTTATTGTTTGAAGCATGGAAATATGTTCAATAGCGAGTTCGTACTCTATGCCTGCTGAGAAGTGTGTTAATTATCTTTCCTTGTATTGAAGTCTTGAACAATTTATCATGATCGTAGCCAAGTTATACCAGTAGCTGTAAGATTGCTTTTATTTTGTATCGTTTTATGTTTTTTGAACTCTGAAACATGGATTATGGTATGGCTAATGTCATTTACTTCTTCATAATGTCAGTGAACAAACTAGGGTGCTGTTATCCAGTGCTGCTTTTGTCCATCTGAAGAAAGGTGATATCATTAAGCACACACGGAATCTTTCTCCTGCTAGCCGAACTATTTTGCTCTCTGGTCCTGCTGGTAAGTTAAGCTCTTTTGAAAGGCTTCTCGATAGTTTTGCACAGTTGTTTCTTCTTTTCGTGCATGTTGAGTGTTGGTCTGAGTGTTTCGTGTCTTGTTCTGCAGAACTTTATCAGCAAATGCTTGCGAAGGCTTTAGCTCACTATTTTGGAGCTGAGTTGCTGTTGTTGGACGTGAATGATTTTTCTTTGAAGGTGGGTTGAGAAGTAATATAGATTCTTGTATCTGGGTTAGTCAAACAGCGGTTTGTATTTATATATGCTTTTACTGAGTCCTGGAGTTGTTTGTTTAAACAGATTCAGAGCAAGTATGGATCGTCTAAAGAAACAGTAAGCTCATTATGCTTTGTCACAAATTGCGAATTACGTTGCACTATGATGTTCTGCTGCTAACGTATACTTTGCAGTCTTTTAAAAGGTCTATATCTGAATCAACACTCGGCCGCATGTCGGAATTATTTGGCTCTTTCTCCATGCTTCAGCCCAAGGAAGAAAATAAAGGTATCCAAGGATGCAGCATGCATTTTTTTGTTTACTTGTCTAATTGTAACAGAATATGTATTTTAGAATAATATCAGCTTGTTTATTAGTATATAAGTATGTTTTGTAGAATAGAAGATCATATAATTGTGGGACAGTGTGTGCAGAAGATGTCAATTTATGGATTTAGTTGGCCCTGCATATCGTTATTTTACTTACAGTTGGGTAATCAATGCCCTGCTCTTTTATTCTGGGTCTTCGTGTGTATGAATACAATCTCCCCATATTTGCAATGAGTTCTCTTTGTCAAAAAGATACTTTAATTTTGTTGCAGGAATACGTAGACAAAGCAGCGGGGTGGATCTCGGATCAGTGTGCGTATTGTCTGTTCTATACATGTTAATACTATTGTTTATATAAAATTTCAGTCATGTCATACTATTAGTTTTGCAGTGGTTATGAAGGCTTGAATCCGGAGAAGCTGCGTCGAAATGCGTCTGCCTCGGCTAACATCAATGATCTTCTTGCTTTTCCTTCAGCAAGCACTCCTGCAACTTCAGGTTTTGAACCGAACAATTTAGTATTGTTTAAATGTTAAAGAATTATAGTGTTGATGTTTGCACTGATTTCTAAAGATCCAGAGCTGAACATTTTTTTGATTGTATCGTAAAAAAATTAAATTTACGTATACACGAGTTTCGAGAAGAAAGATATATTTGGGCACGATACATAATTCTAAAGAAGAAAGAAGTTATTGGAAGAACATCAATAGTTAGCTGTAGGTAAAGATTTTTCCCCAATGTATTCTATCCCATGCCTTTTTCTGACCCATGAATCCCGAAATTTCAGTTCAACCGAAGCGCGAAAGCAGTTGGTCATTTGACGAAAAGCTGTTCATACAGACTCTATACAAGGTATGATTTTCATTGATGTTTGGTGTAGTGGCTAATTCTATGGAAAATGTTTAAAGGTTTTCTACTGACAAAAATAACTTTTTCATTATATTCAGGTTCTGGCCAAAGAATCAAAAATGCATCCTGTTATACTGTATCTTAGGGACGTCGAGAAACTACTCAGCAAATCTCAGAGGTTTTACGTGATGTTCCAGAAAATGTTGAAGAGGTTGTCTGGACCGATACTGATCCTTGGTTCCAGGATAATCGGCCCTGAAAATGATTACAATTTAGTAGATGAAAAAATCTCTGCAGTGTTCCCGTACAACATTGAAATAAAACCTCCCGTGGATGAGAACCATCTCGTGAGCTGGAAGTCTCAGCTAGAAGATGACATGAAAATGATTCAATTTCAGGACAACAAAAATCATATAATGGAAGTACTTGCTGCCAATGACCTTGATTGCGATGATCTCGGTTCTCTCTGTTTTCCGGACACGAACATTCTTAGCACCAACATAGAAGAAATTGTGGTATCTGCCATCACTTACCATCTTACAAATTGCAGGGAACCTCAGTACAGAAATGGAAAACTTGTTATATC